TAACCTCTAAAATTTGGGTTATTAAATTGTCTGTGGCAATAAGACCTGAATTTACTCAGAGTCAGTTTCTAATGAAGATACTTCTTTTTTCTTTTGAAAAGGAGCAGCAAAGGCGGAACAGATTAGCCAGAGAGATGCCTTCTGCTGGGTCACGAGACAAGGTGAGCATGTGCTTGATAGTCTAAGTAAAACTGCAGGCATGGCTTGAAATAATAGTTAAGAAGAGGTTTTCTTGTCACTGCAGCAATTATAAAAATAAAAACCCCATTTGGAAGTTCTGTTCAAAAAGTGCATGCTTTCTTCTGAAATGCAGCCATTGAAAGGGATTGAAGTGGATGGGCTGGAATAAACAGAAAAGCAATGCTGATATCATTTTTGCCATTCTTGCCTTCTTTAGTCCACTAAGCCTCCTGGTGCTTTGGCACCATCCTCCCAGGAAACCTCTACTGCTGGTTCTGCTGAGGTTGATGGCAAGGTCTGTCTCTTTCTTCCTCTAAGCACTGCATGCTCCATTGTCTATGTGGTGCACCTTGGTAATGGTTAGCATTGCTCTCACAAGCATTTGTCTGCTAAATGTTGAATTCACTGCCCTGGAGTAATAAGTTTCAGATGGGCTCTGGAGAGAATTAGGGCTTTTTTTGGTCCAAAACATGCTGCAGAAATAATCCAGTTTGAGACCACTTTAACTGCCCAGCTCAATGCTAGGGAATTCTGGGAACTGTAGTTTTGTGAGACATTTAGCCTTCTCTGCCAGAGAGCTCTTGTGCCACAATAAATTACAATTCCCAGGATTCTCTACCACTAATCCAGGGCATTTAAAGTGCTCTCAAACTGGATTATTTCTCCAGTGTGTTTTGGACCTCAGACACTTATCACGAAGGTACTTCAATAGTTTGCTAACGGTCACAGCTTGGAAAAATTTTTTTTATAGACAACAGCTCCCAAAATTCCCAAGAGGATTTTGGATGTTATTCAGAAAAATAGTTTTCCCAAGCTCTGGTAACAGCCTTTTCCCCCCACTCCCATGCTTTTCTGGTTGTGCAACCATGTTCTAGGGGATATCCTTAGTTTAAGCATCAGTGTCTAGTAGGCTTGTGCCCTCCACTCTGCCTGAGTTTGACACATGCCTTACAACATATTCCTCCATCTTATGAGGCATGTTGGGTTTCTGTGACAAATATTTAGGTATTTCTCAATAGGAAGGTCAATGTGGAAAGGATTTGTAAAAAAGAAGTTTGAAATCAATTAAAGTGTGCCTGTGCCATATACGGCTTTAAGCTTACACATATGGCAAGCGCTGGAAATTATAATGGCACACATGCCACACACAGGGGTCCTGTGCTTTTTGCCTTACATGGGGAGGAGTCCGAAACAGATCCCCTGTGTATACGAAGGGCCCACTGTACTTCAGGGAGCATGAGGACAATGAAAATCTCAAAATGTACCACTCTGTTTGCCTTACTTGCTTTCTGTCCTTAATTTATGTGAAGCTTCTTACTTTCTTTTGAATTTCTAAATAAATGTCACTGTGAATTTGTATGTTCTGAGATCTCATTACCCGAATAGGCAGCTAGCAAGTTGCCTTTTTAAGAAATGTGGAAATTTCCTGTGTCAATTGCAGACTCTTAAAATTCCCCATAACTAGCCTCTGTCCTGTCCATCCTGTGAATTTTCTTTGTCCTGTCATTGCAGGATAAGGTGCAGAAGTTAATTTGTGGGGATGATATGATTTATATGAATTGTTGTATCAAGAAAGTTACTCCTTTTGATCAGTCTTACCTTGACTAGATAAAGTAGGGGTGAATCAGTCTTTTGACTTGCATGTCTGATCTCAATTGAGTACTCAAACCACATAATGTAATCTCTCGTTTTGTTGCAAAGTTGTTAATTGCAGTTTCCTGCTTTAGATGAAATAGTAGGCTATCCATAGCAAATCTAATATATCACTGAAGAGAAAGGTAGGATAAAATTGTTGTGGAGGAGGAGAACACATATATTAAAGTTCTTGTAGATCCAGACCCTAAGAGATGAATAATGATAAACTAAATAGAAACCTGTACAAGTGACTACCCACTGTGAAAATGTATGAGTTGTTTGTCTGAAAACAACTGATTTGTATTTGAATGCTGTGGCTTTTCATTAGACATCCCCTGCTATGGGAGAAGGAGCTTCAGAATCTGGAACAGGCAACTGGAGAGGTATGCTGAAAACTTCCAGAGCAGAGGAGATATTAGCTGAGGAAAAATCAAAACCAGTAACAGTACTGCCTGCTAGCCCTCAAAAAGGCCATGCTGTAAATTTGCTGGATGTGGTGAGTTTCTACAGAAACATAACTGTAATAGACTGAATAGAACTAGATCTTGGTAGCAGTAGAAAGTAGTCATGCTAATGGGAGCCTTATTTTTGAGCTGCTTTATCCTTTCTTTTAAAATGGCTTTAAATTAATAATAATTATTTATTTAAAGTGCAGTACTTGTGATTTCACTTACCTGTCCTTGAAAAAAAAAGTTCTCTAGGCATTTTCTAGGCCTTCCAGCACAATTCTATGTTTTTTGTTTTTTTTGCCAAACATCGACCATAAAATAATGCAGGGAGGACCTAGAGATTCCTTGAGAGTTATTCAAGGAATGTCAGGGCGCCATCCTGTCCCCGACGTTATTTAATATCTATATGAAGCCGCTGGGGGAGATCATTCGGAGGCA